GCATTCCGTCCAGATGCCCAAACCACCTCAACTGACTCCTTTTGATCCGGAGGAGCAGCAGTTCTACTCAGAGTCCCTCCCGAATGTCCGAGCTCCTCACCCTATCTCTAAGGCTGAGCCCGGCCACCCTACGGAGGAAACTCATTTCGGCCGCTTGTATCCGTGATCTCGTTCTTTCGGTCATTACCCAAAGCTCATGACCATAGGTGAGGATTGGGACGTAGATCGACCGGTAAATTGAGAGCCTGGCTTTCTGGCTCAGCTCCAGAGTCCGAAATGAACACTCGCCACTCTCCAAATGCGAGCAAATTGCTCCATTTGGCGAGTAAATTTTTGAGCTCTATCTGCCACATAGCGATTAAATGTTAGCACCAAATTAGTTATGTTTATCAGTCATCTTCCATGAATTTCTGATACTCCTCCCGCCTGCATGCAACGTACACAAACGTACGCGAAACGTGAACGCCGCATCCAACGTCATTTCCACCTATCCCATTCAATCAGTTAGCTTCGTGTTAAAACTAGCGGTGAAATGTGGCGGTTTTTAACTGGAGTCAGCCAGCCTTCCAAAAGAAAACTCGTCAAACTGGAAGAAAAACCACCAGGACCAGTGGCAACCATAAGATTTTGTGAAAAGTGGCGAACTGGAGATGGTGGAGTCGTGAGACAATGGCTACATTATGATGGCCACGTAGCGTTGCTGCCTTTCACAGACACTTTTTCTGCTCGTGCTTTAAACAGGATAGCCGTCTTCTATCAACTGTCCCTCAGCATTCTTCAAATATCCAAAAAATGCCCATACTTCGTTCTTTGTCATCTTTGAGGGATAATAAATGTCCCGAGTGCCGTCTCCTCTGGCCATTATTTCAACTTTAGCTCAAAGAAAATTTTGGTCGTAAACAACAAACTGCACATGTGCCGCCGGCAACTTCAGCAGATGATACGGTGGCTGGTAAGGGTCACCGCGCCTACATCGCAGCCACGGTAATCCACCGAGATAATATTTTTTTTTAAAAAACAAGACAGTTATTATTATTGTCAACTTTTTTACCAGGGTTTACCGCTACACCGGTTACCGTGACAACCCTAGCCCTGACACACTTTCAGATATTCTCATGGTGCAGCTGTGTTCTCCAGAGATCGAGGACTAGGACCCAAATGAGGCTGTAATGCTTTGGCACAAAGACGGTGTCAGAAGCAGGAGGCCAGACTTCATGGACAGAGAAAACAAGGAGTCTGACTAGATTTCAATGAAAGAGTTCATAAAAACATCTCTAAAAATAAATAAATAAATAGTAAAAATGACAAAAGAGTTGTTTTTCTTATTAATTGATGTTTTAATTTTTTTGTCACTCTGTTTGGAATCAACATAATATAGAATAACATGCTTTCGGTAGATCTAAATCATTTAGAATGTTGGCCGGTAAAAAATATGCTTGGCCGGTAGATTTTCATCATCTACCAGCCAACTTGGCCGGTGAGTAAAAAATTTAATTTCGGACCCTGCTCAGCTCCCTCTTCATCACAACAGATCGGCTCAGTGTCCGCAGCACTGCAGATGCTGAACCAATCCGCCTGTCGATCTCCCGATCCCTCCTACCCTCACTCTTGAACAAGACTCCGAGATACTTAAACTCCTCCACTTGAGGTAGGACCTCTCTCCCGACCCGGAGTTGGCAAGCCACCCTTTTCCGGTCGAGAACCATGGTCTCAGATTTGGAGGTGCTGACTGTGTGAACATAATAATGTAAATTCAGCTTTAATAATTTTCATTTTGTACAAAATTTCTGATTTTAGAAGTATTGTCAGTATATCGGTATCGGCAAAAATTGGTTATCGCTATAATCACCTATTCAAACATGTTCACAGTCTTAAGTTATGCACATATTGTATAGCTTTTATTTCTATTTACAGACTCCAGATAGCAGCTCCTGCAGTGGTAGGAACCTCAACGATGCCTCGCATGGCTGTGGACTCGATGAATCAACATAAGTCAATAGCAGAAATGTTCGCGCTAGACATTTTTGTCATTTTGACCTACAGAATTAAAAAAAAGGTTGTTATCATTTCTTCCCGTCATTTTCATTTCTCAATAATGAATCAAATTTTACAATTCCATTTTCATTCATTTGTCATAAATATTTAGTCTAAAAAAGCTGACCAGTGTGTCCAGCAACATATTAATGTTACAATTAAACAATTTCACCTAAAGTAGGAACATTTCTCCTGCTGTGTTCTGGTTCTGCTGCTGGGCTGTGACCCACAGGCGCCCTCCGAGCTGCTCTCACACCTTCTCAGCGCGCTGATGGTGAGCTGCAGTGATCATGGTGTCCACGTCTGAAATAGCCTAATGCTCAGATGTTCTGATGGGAGTCTTTTCTTGATCCTTGATCTGTAGCGCTGCCCCAATTCTTGGTGTCTCACAGGGCTCGTCAGATAAAAGATAAAAAGGTCATCAACACTGATGTAGAATCACATCAATAAACCAAACATAGTGAGATCAGGAGAGGTGACGTTTGGTTATCACTCATACATTTTATAGTTTTCCTAAGGTGCGCCGCCACTACATCGCCCCTACCAGGCGTTGGCTTACATGCGCCGCCCCTACGTTGCCGTGGGTCTTAAATCCGCTCTATGGAAAATACTATTGATAGTGCAGATGTTCACACAGCGACGTCACCTTCAGCTGCGCCTTCTCCAGAGTCTGGTTAGGCTTAGTCGTGGCAGCAATCACTCTATTGGATAGCAAGGACGCCGATTAGAAGCGCTCGTCGTTCCACAGCGCTTTGCAACGCATCGTCGCACTTCCGCGTCTGGTGTGTTCTGGGTGTTAACTCCACAATCTTTCAATATTAAATGATGGAACTGGATTGTAATAAGGATTAAGATGTTAGCCGTGCCTATCTACTTAATGAAATATTTACATATGGGGGTGCAATAGGGTCAAAATATTTTTCCTGAGTGTTTATTTCATTGTGCAGGCTGAAGCGAGCCGACAGGACTCCGGCAGAAGAACGTGTGGGAGGGGCGGGCCACATGGAAAGTGGCGAAGGCAGGAGCGGGGCTGGGTGGGGTTCGTGCGCTTGCTGGGAACCATTTGATAACTGCTTGCAGTTCTAGTTTACTTGTTATTTTTAAATTTGGTCAGTCACTCTTGAGTTAAAGATGCAGACTGAAAGTGAAATAATGTACTCCTATTTCCTGCATTAGCTTCTGATAGAATATAGATGGCAAACAATGCTCTGCTCAGAAAAGCCTGACAGATCTACGCCATGCTGTCGGTTATCATTCATGGATTTACTCATCTTGGTTCGTGATGGGAAAAGCTGTTGGCGTCCAGGAAAGAGCAGAGGATGTCTCAACTAGTGGAAGCTAACTGTTAGCATTATCAACTAGAACTCCTTAAGGCTTGTGTTATTTGTGGAGATAAAACATCAGCGTTGCAAAGCAAAGAGTCGCATTGCTGTTAGCCAATCAGAGGCTAGATGTCCAGATGTCAGGAAATAAGACTCGAAATCCTGCCGTCTGCTGTCACTTTCTCCTTCGGCTGACTTCTGTGTCCTCAAAAAGGAGCACCTGAGTTCTTTTTCACCTTGTAACAACTTACAAGGCCTTCAGTCCTAGCAGAGACCACTGCTGATTTGGCCAGGAGGTCTTCCTGTTAAAAAAGAGTGTACCTTTCCCTGCTGCTACATGCTTGCTTAGTGACACCAGTCAGTGACTCAGTGCAGTCTGCTGGGTACCTTTTATTGGAAACTCATAGGAATTGGAAACAAATTGGCATAATGAACCAAACTCAATTGGAACGTTTGATTTTGCGAAATGATTTGGCACTATATAAATAAACTGAATCTTCAAACAACAGTTCCTGATATTTGGACATCTCGCCTCAGATTGTATAACAGTAACACAACTGTACCATTAACCCTGTTTGCTATGCAACGTGGATGTTTTATCTCCATAAATAACACAAGCCTGGAGAAGTTCTGCCATGTTGTGGAGTTGCTAATGCTAACGGTTAGCTTCTATTGGTGGAGATGTTTTATGCTCTCTCCTGGACGCTAAACCAATAACAGCCTTCACCGTCACGAGCCAATATGGGTAAGTCAAAGAAACAGTTTGACATAGCACGGTCAGGGTTTTCAAATTCTAGTGTTTCACCGTCTATTTTCTATCAAAAGCTAACGTAGGAAATAGTTGTTTGACACCATTTTCACATTCAGCCTGCATGTTAAACTCATAGTGACCAGTCATTAAAAAAAATTTTGAAAAATTGTTTCTCAGTGAAGGACCTCTTTAACATCTAGGATTTTACAGGTTGCATCCGTCTGCCCAACTTATTTTCTTTGGTTCTCCAGGACAAAAGTTAGGTGCACCAAAGTTTGTGACTCACGTTCTTTACTTGAGATAAAAATAGCATGACTTGATCTGTAAACAGCATGAGGTGAACAATGACGGCGAACTTGAACATTCCGCTCAGTCTCTGGCTTTTTGTCAGACTCTGAACAGGCAGGAAGCTCTGGGACAACTAGTGACTCCACCCCGTAGCCAATCGGTGACCAACAGTCACTGGCATCGTACTTTCTGGCATGGTCCACACCAGGAACCACGAGCGTATACTGAAAAGTTGAGGGAAAATACTGAACTGTGTTGTTGGAAAAGGCTGTCAAACCGAGCCACACCCATCCAAGTCACTCTGTATTGCTGTTGGAAAACCCACATTGCTGTTAAGGTTTTTTATGAAATAACAAATTACATTACAATCAAAAGTAGATTAACTATGTCATCTAAGGGTTTCAAAATGCTAATTATTAGGGCCATGGCTAAATATTGATTGCTGCTTGGGTTTTTCAAAAAGTCTCTTAAGCCACATAATACATAACCTGATAAAGTCACAGCAGTTTTAGATGGGATGGCAGTTTAGGTCAGACTTTCTTTTTGCCGTCCACGGGTTGATATACTTTGCTGAGTTATTACTGTCGTCTGCTTTTCCTCTCTAGATCTCTCTAACGTTTCCGAGACCGCTGAAAAGGTGAAGCCGGACAGGGCTTTCGAGGACGATGCAGAAAAGTCTGTTGACACCAAAAATTCACACTCTGATGAGAGCTGCAAAGAGAAGTCACAAGTACAGGATCTGGGAGGTGAAGTTGACCTTATGGAGGAGATGATCGAAGATGATGATGAGGATGACGGGGACGAGGAGGAAACTGATCCCACAGCTAAACAAAAAACGTTTTGTCTGGTGTGCAAGGACTGTGGGAAGAGCTTCAAACGCCGTGAGATGTACAACCTTCACCGCCACTTTCATGCACACGAGGATGAGTTCACGCCCCTCACTTGTAAAGAATGTGGCCTTACCTTCCAGCAACGAAGCAGCTTCATTAAACACAGAAATGAACACAGAGAAATGGAGGAGAGGCTCATGACTCCAAAGATGGAGAGCCACACAACGGAGGAGGGCAGATATCAGTGTGCAGAATGTGAGAAAATTTTTCCCACAGTTGGTAAGCTGAGGGACCACGGATGCTGTAATCTAGCAGAAAAGCCTTATCACTGCACCCTGTGCCGGCAGGATTTCCAGTTTAAAGTGTCTATCAGTAAGCACATGATGACCCATTCCCAGGAGGGCATGTTTAAATGTCAAGAGTGCACTCTAACCTTCCGAACCGCCATGGCTCTGCGCTTCCATCAGAAATCCCACACCGGCCTCAAGCCCTATGAATGCCCCGAGTGTGGCATGGTTTTTAAGCACTACTCCGTGATGGAAGATCACCGGCGAAAACATGTAGACAAAAGCCGTTCTCACCTCTGCACCATCTGTGGCAAGGCTTTCAAGTACAGCAGCCTCCTTCATCAGCATCAATACCTGCACACGGGCCAGAAACCCTTCTGCTGCCCCGAATGTGGCAAAAAGTTTGCTTTTGCCCAGAACATGAAGGCGCACTGCCGTCAGCATAGGCTGCGGGAAACCAACTCACTCAGCGAGCCGCCTAGCAAACCAGCCACTGAGGACGCCAAAGGGCCAGAGAAGGAGAACACGAGCACAGCCGAGGAACCAAAACGCACTTTTACTTGCCCTCTCTGTCCCCAAACATTTCCATCAGCAGCAAACTTGAGAGCTCACATGCTCATCCACGAGGCAGAGTATGAGAAGATGGAGAGAAAACCTCAATCTCCAAAAGAACTAAACAAGACCTGGGACAAAGGACATGCATGTCCACACTGTCCTAGTGTTTACCGAGAGGAATCCAGTTTAAATCTACATCTGTTGAATTTTCACAAGTCACCTAAAAAATATTTGGAAAGGCTGTCGGCAAAACCTAAGAATGATTTTGCACCGTTAAGCAGTGATGATATGCAGGAGAAGTGGAAGAGCGAAGAGACAAGTATTAAGTCATACAAGTGTTCGGAGTGTGGAAAATCGTTCCGCCACCGCTCGGTGTTAGAGCTGCACATGCGCATACATTCCAAGGACAAACCGTACCAGTGTAAAGTGTGTGGCAAGGGATTTAGGTTCGGTAGCTACTTGCAGCAACATTTAATCATCCACACAGGCGAGAAGCCATACAAATGTCCTGATTGTGGGAAGGACTTTGCTTTCCTCCAGAATATGAGGACACACCAGAGGCTGCACCAGGAAAAGCCGTTCCGCTGCACCAGCTGCCGAAAAGGCTACAGCGATGAAACCCAGCTCCAGCAGCACATGTTGTCGCATAATGGTGACAAACCTCACAAGTGTGACCTGTGCGACAAGAGCTTTGGGTTGGCCTATCTGCTTCGTGATCACATGAACACACACACTGGAGAGAGGCCTCATCGCTGCGACCAGTGTAACAAAACCTTTTCCTGGTTCAGCAGCCTGCTGGTTCACCAGAAGATCCACACACGCAAGAAGCAGTTGTACAGCCCACACAATTCCATCCCTGTGAGCACTGGGGTGAGGGGCGGTGAGAAGAGAGAGGGGGGGCTCACATGGAGCTTGTCTAGACCCTTAGGAGGCTCGGGCATGAGTACTCAGCAGCCTCTGTACCCACTCTCTCCACAGAAAGATGCAGACATACACAGAAAGCCACTACACCCACAATCTTCCATGCTCCAGTCTCACATGAATTTACAAAGCAGGCAGCAGGGTGAGCAGTGGCCATCTGAGCCACAACCTCAGCCTGTGCAGTGGAAAGTGGATGGTGGAGAGGTGATGCCCGTCCCAACCCCACAGCAGCAACATGGAGCTCCACAAACTCCGTTTGACTGCCCAACACAGCCTCAGCAGCACCATCAGAGAAGTCCAGGCTGGGCAGAAATCCCTCTGTTAACACAGTCTGGCTCTGTGACAGTTCAGACCTCAGACTCACATATGAATGAGAATAAATCTTCTGCTGGCAGTTCTCAAATGCCAAAAAAATCCAGTCCGTCAGCAGTGAGCGAGATGGTGCAGCAAAGGCCGCAAAAGCCTACCTGGAATAGCACGCCCGCATCTCTAGCGCTCGCCTCAACAAGCGCTGCGCAGCATGATTTCTCTGTTCCTTCCACCTTTATGGACGGGGCGGCACTGTGGAGCGTCCGTCCCGCTCCACTAGTAAACTCGCAGAGCTCTCTGAACAAGCTTGGACAGGAACTGCAGCTGCCAAGGTGGCAAAGTGCTATAGTGCCATCACAAAAGGAGCCGCCCACGCCCACTAACAAAGAAGAGAGACCATGGGATGTGAGCAGTTCTCAAGTAATTTCTTCGACTGTTATGCAGCCAGAGAAGCCATGGAACGGCTGTGAGCCTCAAAAGCTATGGGCTTCAGGCTTAGCTGGTGTATCCTCCTCAGCTCAAATAAACCAAAGCAATGCTATGCCAATTTCTACTCCGGTCTCTCATGGAGTCACTAATACCTTGTGGGATATTCACACACCTCCAAGTATTCCAAAGACTATTAACTCGACTGAGAAACTGGTAAACAGCCAAGATTTCCACCTGCAGCAGAAGCAGGTGTCTCCTGCCTGGGGCAACATGCAGACAGCCACGCAGAAGGTTCCCATCTCCATCCAGTATGAAACTCATCGTTTTGGACAGGCGATGGGAACTCCAGTATGGGGCTTCCAAAATAATCCAGTAAGTTCTCAGACGCTGCTCAGCTCTCAGCTCAAAACAAGCGGTGGACAAGAGCTTCAGCAACAACCAATGGTAACTGGCACTCAAATCATCATAAATCAGCCTTCTCCCTTTTTCTCACCTCCACTTGCTCCGCTCCCCCCTCCTCTCGGCATGCCAGGCCCTCACCCTCTTCATTCTGTTGCGGTAGGTACAGTAGGTGCACTTTCAAGACCCCCACACCCAAATATTTTCTTCACACCGCAGGCGGTCATGAGTGAGAGGCCACGCATGCCGCAGACCCTGCCCCTACCTCAGTTCCCCCCGCAGACTGAACCACACAAACTTGGATCCCGCTTGCCTTTTGCCCCAGAACGGCTTCTCCAGTGCATGATATGTAGGTGCTCTTTTTCTCGGGAGCTGGATCTACAAATGCATTACTTGCAACATGCACAAGGGGAGATGTGATGTTTCCACACTAGTAACAAAAACATAGTTATCTTTTTATTATCGTTCTTGGGTAGAACCTCATTTATCTGTCACTTTGTTGTGCGGTTGTACCATGTGAGTGGAAGGGCATCAACCTGATGGAGTTTGCACATTTGACTTAAACACTTATATGACTGTGCAGTATGTTTGAAACAGACATACGTATGGTTAGACTGGTCCTTTACATACATTTCAGTTGTGTGGATTGTGTTAGGCGTGCCGATTAATGAGGTTCTACTGGCTACATTTCATTTATTGCCAATGTCACTTAGATTTAGAGATTATTAGTTCTTTTTGAAGTCCTGTTCATTTGTCTTGAACCATTTGTACTGTGTTCCTTCATGTACAGTATATACTGTGTGCCTTTCATAAGTACAGTCTGCATGTCTGCTGTTTTGGTATTCTAGGCCCTAGTTTTTGCTTAAGGTAGACTAAACAACGTGACCTCACCCCCACAAATGCAGAGCAGAAATGTTAATAGCATACAACGTTAAACTGTAACCTTTTCCTTTTGGAGGGGCGATGGGATTTATTGTTCTCAGTGTTTTGATTATTCATTGTTTAGTTTTTTTATCAGAACATTCGTCTTAGAGCTGATCACATACAAGTATGTTCCTCTTAAAAGTACTGCCGCTGGCAGGGTCCAGACATCTCACTGGTCAAGTTTGTTTCTGTGTTAATTCAGTCAGGAAAAGAGCATCAACATGTTATAATGCATAAAGCTTTTTTCTTCCTGAGTTTTCTGTAAATTGAATTTCTCGAATCTCAACTGATTGCTGATTTATTCATACTTGGCACCACTACACAGTTTATGACGCTGTTGTTAATTTTGTAATAAACAAAACTTGGATTTATGTTTTGTCAGTAATATTTTGTTACATAAAGGTGGTGATATTGCTGTGGACACATATTCCACCGTGTGTTCCTTAACAGGATGGAGTCTACTGAAGAAGTGAGATACATTTTTTGAGAACTTAAAAATGTTTTTATGCATAATATAGATTTCTACCATTTGAGTTACAAAATAGGGTCTTACCTGCCTGACCCCCTTTTGTAACTGAAAATTGTTTATTACACTCTTGTTAAACTAATATATATATATATATATATATATATATATATATATATAATCAACAGCTGTTTACTTCCCTCCGTTAAAAACCATGACTGCGCCAATGTTTTTTTTTAATTATTAATAGTAATAATGCATTTTATTTAACAACGCCTTTCAGGACACCCAAGGACACATTATTATTAAATAAAACCTGCCTTTGATTATAATACTGTGCAGTGCAATATTTCACAAAGTGCCTTATTCACTACTACTACTACTACTACTAGCTACTGTGTGAAGTGCCTTGAGACGACGACTTGTCGTGATTTGGTGCTATATAAATAAACTTGATTTGAATTGACATCGAATGACATCTAAAGTTTTATTAAATGTACAATAATGTACTAGTACACTGTAATATATTTTTTAAATATATTTTGTATAACTTCACAATATTTTATTCTAAATAAAAAGTCTGTGTGTAAAAAGACATTAAAGCGGCTTAAAGTTACACTGGAGATACTTAAGCGAGTACAGATTAACAAAATTAACTGCATCACACATCTCACCACCGGTCTCAGTTCACCTTTTGGACCTCTTGTCACAGGCAGTTGACAAGAGGACACAAGAATGAAATCATGGACCATTCACAGAAACTCCTAAAGTACAAACATGTTTTACAGCTGCACATTTTACTACCGACTATCCAGGAGAAGCCACCCCATGGTCTTCCAAAGATTCACAAGTAACACCACTCAGACCCATAGCAGCATCGTCTCGCTACAAAACATCTGTCCACCATCCTATCCTGGATGGAAAGACCCAACATCTCATACAGAATTTGAGGAAATTCCCCCAGGGGAAACCAAATGAGGTGTATGCGCATGTTCGTTGAGGTGGTGTTCTTAGTTATTGCTTTGTTCAGTGTTGCAAAGGTGGAGTTGTATATTTCATATTTCCAACAGCAGTTAATGAAGGGGAGATGGGGAGTTGATCGCCTTCAGTCGCTGTATCCTGAAACTGCACTTTTGTTCATTTGAGCAATTTAGAAGAAATTATTTAGCCTCCTTATCTTAATGAAGCTTTTAAAACGTGTTAATCTGTTTTTAATCTTTTTGGGAATATAAATTTTATAGAGCAGGAGGATTTGAAGGAGAAGATGGAACTGGATTAATAAAGATAAAATGCTTCCTTGTTTCCTTGAAATAATGGGAAATCTGCGCCCTCTGCTGGCAATAAACAGCAGCATTATATTTCCAACAGCTGAAAGGAAGATGGGGAATTGATGTCCTTTGGTGGCTAATATGCTGTAACTGCACTCTTTTATTTTTATTTTAGCAATTTAGAAAAGAATATTTTAGCCTCCTTGTCTTAATGAAGCTTTACATTTTTTTTTATCTTTTTAGTAAACATTTGGGAATTATATCTGAAGGAGAAAGAGGATTTGAAGGAGAATATACAATTTGTTTAATAAAGTTAAAAGACTTCCTTAGTAGAAACACTTTCTAAATTCCTCCAAACACTTTTTTTTTCAAAACTTTATTGAACAAGGTAATAAGTATACAAACAAATTGTATACAAAATTGAACAAAGATGAAACATATGCCAGGGGGTGCACTACAGAAATGTTACACACATCCAAATAAATTATAGGTGGTGCAAATAGTTATAGTTTTTAAAGCTTTTTTGTTTAGTGATCCACTAATCAATTTTATGTAAGATAGAGTGTCACTATAATAGTGCTTGAAATTAGGTTTTTGGTTACTATACTTGCATTTGTGGAGATAGAATTTCCTCCAAACTCTTTTGTTTCATTGAAAGAATGGGAAATTTGTGCCCTCTGCTGGTAATAAACAAAACAGCACTATGTTTTTCAACAGGCGGGAAGGGAAGATGGAGTTTCTGCCCTCTGGTGGCTGCCTGTTGTAACTGCACTTTTTTATTATTTTTATTTTAGCCATTTAGAATAGAATAGTTTAGCCTCCTTGTTTTAACGAAGCTTTAAGAAAAATCTCTTTTTTTGTAAACATTTTGGGAATCATATTATGAAGGAGAAGGAGGAGGTGGTACGCTGGAGCCACAGTGAGGGACAAACACAGACTGCAGCGCATTGTGCGCTCTGCTGAGAAGGTGATTGGCTGCAGCCTTCCATCTCTCCAGGACCTGTACGTCTCCAGAACTCGTGGGCGTGCAGGTCGGATAGCAGCTGACCCTTCTCACCCGGGTCACAGACTTTTTGAGCCGCTTCCCTCGGGCAGGAGGTTACGGTCCATCCGGACCAGAACCTCTCGCCATAAGAACAGCTTCTTTCCACACAACCATGCTCGTCTTCGGTACTTGACATAACGTCACGTTATCGGCCATATTACCTTTACCTGCCATTTTTATAGCAAAGTTTTATGCTAGTTTATTATATTTTATTCTACTTTATTCTACTCTATTCTATTTTTTAATTATATTATTCATGTTATATGTAGCACATTAGTACCGAAGCAAGTTCCTAGTTTGTGAATCGTTTGTTCACTAACAATGGCAATAAACCTTTTCTGATTCTGATTCTGAATTGAAGGTGTAATGATTTGTAGGTGGTTCCTTTTAATAAGTTGTCAATAGACTATCCAGGGATTCCCAAAGTGTGGTGCACACTGCCGCTAGGGGGTGCACGAGGTGAAAAGTGTCATGGCTGCGGAGCTCAGAGAAGTCTGTCATATGTCACCATTAGCGTAGCCAGAAACTCATTTGTGGGTGGGCCTAAGGAAAAGTAAGTGGGCACAATAAATGTAATTGAAAACAAGTATATTTTTGCGCGTGTGTCCTCCACATGTACCCTAGCTTCATAATAACAATGCGCCTAGCTTCAGCGCTCTGGCCTGCGCACACCGATATGTTCCGTATTTGATAATTTTTAACGGTGTTGGAGAAATCTGAAGGTGGTGAGTCATTCTGGCAGATTGTAATTAACACCCTGTGTCATGCAGGTGTTCTGACCATAGGAGTCATTTTAGCCGGGGACATGTCCCCGGCAAAATTTGTGATTGGCAGCATTTCAAAAAATGAGTTGCTTTTTTTTACCAGCTCAGATCGTAAACCTCATAGACTGTACATACTGGACAAAACAATTCCATAGGCTCCAATAACACGTTTTTGTCTATAATGGGAGGTGGCCACCACCGCCATTTTGACCGTGTCACAGGTTCCGTCCAGCCCAGACAATTCCATAAAAGGGAAGAGAGGAGGAGCTGAGGGTGGGGCTGTAAGGCTGGGCTCGAGTGACGACACCCAGGCGAACTAGCTACGAGCTAACCTGAAGCTAACCCTGGCTAACCCAAAGCTAAAGCAGAGGTGGGAGCCGAGCTAACGGATGTAGCCACCTAGCTTCAACCCAACTGGAACTAACTGGAACACCCATCGACCTGAACCTCACACGGAGTTTAGGTGGAGGTTTTCGGAGCCTGTTCGTGAAAAGTACCTGGATTAAAAAAGTATTAAATCGGTAAGTTTATAATTTATTTCCGTAATGAAAACATTTTGCTTTGAGCAAGTTTTCAGTACCGTGTTTTCCGGGCTATCGCCCCTGAGTCGCACCAGCCATTAAATGTATCATGAAGAAGAGAAAATATATTTAAGTCGTATTTTGGGGGGACATTTTATTATTTTTCTTACAAAATCTGAGACCAAGCGTTTCACATTGCAAGACAAGCACCGGCGGTAACCATAACAGAATGAACAACCGCGCGCCACGGGTCGGAGTCGGCCCGCAGCAGTGCGGTGTAGCCTACATATTTTGTTATATAAGTTGCTCCGGAGTATAAGTAGCAGGACCAGCCAGATTATGTAAAAAGTGCGAGTTATAGTCTGGAAAATACGGCAGTTATTAGTATTCGAGCTAAATTAGCGGCCTAAATACATTTAATATATTTCCAAAACGTAATACTTGTTTGTATCTTGTACAGCCAACTAGCCTTTATTCTGGACTCAGTACAATTCAAAAGTAAAGAGACATTATACAGATGAAGTAAGCACCAGATAACTTACTGGAAGACACGGAATTATCATGAGAACCAGAACAAGAGAGCCTAATAACAGTCATGTGAAAATAACAGTTAAAAAGTATGTATGTGTAATAGAAATAAAAATATATTAGAATTAGTGTAACTCACTGTGTTCCAAACAATAAATCAGCCATAGCTGATTAGTAAATATGACATGAGGTCTGGGAGTTTTTAAGTTTCATTCTTTTATTACATTTTTTTCTTAGATCTGTTTAAAGGTCACCATGGCAGCCTTAAGTTACTAAGCTATCGCGTCATACCCGTGTCACAACCCGTGCACGCGCATTGGGTCCACAGCGCGCGTGTGAACGGGACTCGCGCGCGTGTGAACGGGACTCGCGAGCGAAAATATACATGGCGAGAGGTCATTTGTGCACAGAGAGGGAGCAAACTGTGTCTGTGAGCGCACAAGGATGTGCACAAGTGACAAACCTGCGTGCGCGCGTTGTCAACGAGCACACGGCAGAGGAAAACGTGCGCGCGCGGCAGCCTCTGTGCGCGCTCGGCAGCCTCTCTGCGCGCTCGGTTTCTGACTCCTGCTAGCTCGGCTGTAAGGGCTTTTGGCACTCTGGAGGCGTGGCCTGTGGCAGATCTTGTCTGTCCTCTGATTGGTTAGTTCACCCCGCACTTTACCCTCTATCTATATAAAAAAGTCTGATGTTCAGTAGTTGCTGGCATAGCTCAGCTGGGAGAGCGGCCCCGGGAGGATCCAGGTTCGAGTCCGGGCAAGGAAAATGTAGTAGACGTCATGTTCATTTTTCTTAATTTCAGGTATTTTACAGTTGTGACCGTTCAACTGTCATTAAACGTCCGAATGTTTGCTGGGCAGTGTTTTAAAAAGTGCACATAAGCTAGATGGTTTTAACCATATAAAATTACATTTTTTGTGATACTGGAAAAATACATACTGAAATAAAACTACTGATTGAAAACTTTATGACTGTGGTTGTACAATATATGACTCACTAATACACTGCAAACTCCCTTAGAGTGGGGCTTCCAGAGAGAGAGAGAGACAATAATAACGTAGTTACTGTAACGCGTTATTTAATAACGTGTTAGTCCCAACACTGATTATAACTGCCAAAATGTTTACTAAAAAGATTACAAATTTTTAAAGCTTCATTAAGACAAGGAGGCTGAAATATTCTATTCTAAATGGCTAAAATGAAAAAAAGTGCAGTTAAAGAATACAATCACCGGAGGGCAGCAACTCCCGATTTTCCCTTCATTGGCGGTTGTTGGAATTGCCAGGGGAGTGCGCAAAATTCTTTTAAGGAAAAAAAACACATCATTTATAAAAATTTAGATAAAAGTGTTTCTTCCAAGAAAGTATTTTAACTTTATTAATCCAGATCCATCTTCTCCTTCAAATCCCCTTTTTTCCTCAACAACATTAACATTCCCAAAAGGTTTAAAAGAAAGATAAAGATTTTTTTAAAAGCTTCAATAAGATAAGCAGGCTAAAATATCTTCTTCTAAATGGCAAAAATGAACAAAAGTGTAGTTTCAGGATACAACAACTCCCATTTTCCATTTCCTGCTGCTGGAAATCTAGCTCTGTTCTGTTTATTGCCAGCAGAGCGCAGATTTCTCATTCTTTCAATGGAACAAGTCAGTGTTTGGACTAAGGAAGTCTTTTATCTTTATTATTATCTTTATTATTCTAGATTTATCTTCTTTTAAATCCTCCTCTTTCTCTTTCATTCCCAAAATGTTTGCCAGATAGATAAAGATTTTTTAAAACTTCATTAAATCCTCATGCTAGAATCGCTTCTGTGTAAAACGACAAATTTATTTGTGAAAACAGTGCTTTCTTTCTTTTCACATGTGTGGGGTTTACACTGTATAAATGTACAAAATGTAGACATTTATCTTCCCTGGCTCTGCAACTCGTTCGGTGCTCAGCACCCCTAAACCCTCCAGGGCCTCAAAGAGGAACTTGGGAACACCTGGAGAGTGAAGGCATAGGTGGTACCCGTGGTCATCGGGGCAGTAACCCTCAAATTAGAGGAGTGGCTAATGCAGTTCCCAGGAAAAACACCAGACATCTCAGTCCAGAAAAGTGCAGTTCTAGGGACAGCTAAGATACTGTGCAGAGCCCACAAGTTCACAGGCCACTGGTAGAGGACCAAAGCTTGGAAAGATGAGACCACCCGCGGAGGGTGAGATGGGAACATTTTCATTTATTTTAAACCAGCCTGAATCACTGGAAGCGAAATACACAAGATAACAGTTTGCTGCACATCTATGTATTGTTGTAACCTAATTTTCACCACTAGATAGACAGATGTCAAGTTTAGCATTTAATCTGAGCACTTTGTGTGAGTTTGTTGACAGACCAAAACAAAAATACATTTTTACTGTGTTTCCCTTCCTAACTTTGGCTTTTGAAATAATACATCTCTGCTTTTCCGTACATTACTTTGCTAAAAAGCCAGTTGACGAAACAGTCATCAATGTTCCCTTTGCTGGTCTGAGATCGGCTCTTAACTGTGCCTAAACCCACCCCATCAGCGAATGGAATCCTTGGGATAGTTTGGTTGACAGTTGCCAGCACCAATAGAAAGACGAGTTTAGGCCTCGTGGCCAATAGCAAACACCCAGTACTTTTATTGAAGCCAGAACTCGAAGCCGTCGAAGTATGCACCTTACTAGTTTGGCCCACAGAGCTGGAAATCATGCTCGGAAAATGCAGAAACATTCGGCATGAAGTAAAGAGTTTTATCTCCGGGTTTTGGATAACTGTTAGCGTTTGTTCCGTTGGTATTTACGGCCAAAAAGGTAAAAGAAAGTTGTTTTTCTCTCTTCTGTTACAGACGTGACGTGAGACTGGATTTCAAACATCTTGCTAGCTCAAAGCAGCTAAAAACAGATTAATAGCATCATTAAATATACATATGTAGTGTGTTTGCACACTACATATAACACAACTATAAATGATTAGTTTAAAATATTTTGAAACTTTAGTATATTTTGAAACGGTTAATATTTTAGTCAGCGTCTTAAAAACTTACTCGCTATATTAACATTTTTACATCAAAACTAACATGATAAATTGGTATTAAGCAGCCTTTAGGTTTATGTTGTTACAACGTAATGTTCAACAAAAATTGTGTTGTTTCATAATTCATGTGAATGTTTGCTTATTTCCAGGTTGATTTGCAGCATTTTATATTGTAGGTATAAAGGTAGATGTCATACACTTTACTCACTCGTGTCCGTCTGCTGGTATGTTTTCTACAGCTGTATTTTTACAAACTGTGTGGAGTCCGCCATGAATCAGTGACCACACTGACAGAAAAGAAAATAATTACCTTGTTGACTCTTGACTCCTAACAGACAACCATACCACAAATCTTTTTGTTGTTTTTGTCTGTCTGAGACTTTGGTTTCCACACATCTGAAGATGGTTAAGTTTAGGGTTTATTTTAAACTCCTAATCTTTTTTCTCAAACTTTGTAAGTACCCTGTCTTTGGTGAGCGACTGTTTTCTTTAACACAACCTGGTGGGGATGTGAGATTATGTAGTGACAGGTAGCCCAGGTGAGCATCCTGTCTGCTAGTGTGGACCTGCAAAGACCTGCCAGCTAAACCTCAGCAGAAAAACATTCCTGCTGTGCTCCTAAATTACATTCCACTGTGGTGCTGTTGAATTCAGTTTGGTGAGAGCTAGATCCTCCTGAACTTATCAGAACAAGCAGAAATTGAAACTCAAACCAGACCAGACCTTGCTGGTGAAAGAGTTCAGTGAGCAGGAGACAATCACCAGTCACCCAGAACTCTGTGGCCTCTCACCAAAAAGTGACAGACCCATAGCAACTGTACCTTGCTGTGGTATTCCCATAGAATCCTTTAGGGATTAAGGGGGGTCCGAAACATTCAGAGCTTTATGGAATTTGGAGCTGAAGAATTGTCGGGAAGTAGGGACTGCTGTGATGCAGGATGTGTGACAAAGGGAGAGCGGAGGGTTATCTGGAGGTTTCCACCTCAACACAAACAACACTGGAGTCTTATATGGAAGACATGGATGAGGGGTAATGCTTAGACTTGGACTGACCCTTGTGTCTTTCTCAACTTTTGACCATTCTTGGATGTGTGGTCTCCTGAGATTTTTGGGGAAGTGCAGATAAGCTCATGGCGCAAACCACTTCTGGAATTGACTCATTTATTTTCCGTGACAAACATGTTTATTAGACTTTCTAAATATTTGAGTTTTCTGCTCCGGTTAAAAGTGTTATAAACCAGTGTTTAAATCACAGCACTCATGAGTCACAGGATGTAGTGAATCAACAATTCAGATAGTTTTTTTTTCCAATAAAACACCCTTCCTGCGTCTTATCCAGTATACATCGCATGATTTGTATAAAATCATAAGAGATAACGTTTCAGGATATTCTAAAGACTTTACCCAGCAGCAGTTGTTGTCATCGCTGAGTTATGATTATAAACGTGCCCGGGTCTGCAGGACATATTCAGATGAGACTTGTTATACCTTTTGCCCTTAAACAATGCCTTCACAAAGCTTTTAATATGTAATAAATGTAAAAGTTAAAACTGTGATGACTAAACCGTCTGCAGTGAAGAGCTCCTCACAGCTGTTTTAAGAAATAAGGAATGCAAGTTTCACCCTATCTACATTCACATAAAAAATACACCTGTGCAGCACACCGTGCAGCTAAAAATACAGAAAGTAACAGGGGCGTGTATTGGCAAGAATGTGGGCGATATTTATACATATCACAATATGGGGGGGGGGGGGAGATGATTTATCATGATGCAATAATCCAGATGGTATTTTCAATTTTTAAGACTGATTAATTGGACAATTCAAGCCAGGAGCTTCCCAAACACAGCCAGTGTTATTTCAAGATCTTGTTCCGATAGAATAGAGGCGGTAAAAACTGCTGCCACCTAGCAGTTGGAATTTGAATTACACCACACAAAAATACAAGAAATATTTGCATGTGAATTCCCAATGAAAATCAATACACTGTTTTTAGATGTCGGTTCAGTGTCATAATTATGTAACACCTGGCCTGGCTCATCTGTGAATATTCTAGCTTTTTCAAGTTTATTTAATCCAATCCATCCATTATCGTCTGCTTATCCAGGGTCAGGTTGTGTAGGTAGGGTGGCAGCCTAATCAGTGAGGCCCAGACTTCCCTCACCCCAGCCACATGGGCCAGCTCCTAGGGGGAATCCCAAGGTGTTCCCTGGTCAGATGAGAAACATAGTCCCTCCGGCATGTCCTGGGTCTTCCTTTAGGTCTTCTCTCGGTTGGACGTGCCCAGAAAACCTCACCAGGGAGGCGTCCTGGAGGCATCCTAACCAAAAGTGTCCTTCTCTCAATCCAATCCAATTTTATTTGTAGAGCACATTTAAAACAGCATGACAGCTGACTAAAGTTCTGAATAGGGCCCGACCAATATGCTTTTTTTGGGACCGATACAGATATAAAACTTTTAACAAAGGCCGATAGCCGATATAATGGCCGATAAATCTCCCTCACAAAAATAAGAAAAGAAATAAAAATAAAAATTTTCTTAAGCTGTTACGGTTTTCTCATTTAGTATTCAAGTCTTATTTTTTTCCTTCCACTGAATTTTCTACTCCTTTTGTACCCTAAGAAACTATGGCATTTTTTTGTTGTCCAAGGAGTGGAGCCACACAACATGAGTTCATAAAGCTGTGCCATCTGCTGGATAGGTAGCGCAATATCGGCCGTCTTTTTGACCGTTAGCCGATAGTGTTGATGGCCCCAATATCGGTCGGACGATATATCGGTCGGGCCCTAGTTCTGAACAAATAAAACAGCATGACTAAAAACATCAAAGATTAATTAAAACGCAGTAGCACCAGGTACCTACAAACAAAAACACCAAATACCTTAAAACATGAGACATGATACAAATAAAAGGTTAATATCCAGAAATGTGAAAACTAGAGGACATCTGTAAAATAACAGAGACATACCCACATCTACAGCATTACCTGCCAAAAGCCATTCTGAAGAAGTGGGATTTTAAACCAGATTTAAAACATGCAAGTGCGTTAATTAAAATTTAACCTGATGTGTACTAAATATTTATGTTTTTGTACTAGCCTTTTGGTTTTTCTGACATCGTTTTTGTATTTTACATGTATGTCATTAGGCAACAGCTGTGGGCACACAGTACTGGGAGCAGAATCTGGCACGTTGGCCTCTCAAAACTACCCAGGTACCTACCCCAGTAACTCCAGGTGTGAATGGAGGCTTCGTGTGCCAGAGGGGCGGACGCTGCGGCTGCTGTTTGGTGACTTTGACATCGAGAGCAGTCCGGGCTGTGGAAATGGTTCTGTTACGATCACAGACAGGGCTGGCAACGTCGTTATGGGTAAGCTCATGAGTGGGTTTTCTGTACAGGACGCCTGAAACTGCTGCCAGTATACTTTTATTATACCCCATGCCACTATTAAAATGTAAAGTGTATTGGAATGTTTACTATGTGAAGTGCCTTGAGACGACTCTTGTCGTGATTTGGCGCTGTATAAAAATAAATAAATAAAAATAAAAATGATCTCAGCCAAGGTTGCACACAAAGGAGATGCCATTCAGCTGACACACTGGCTGAAGAGACGAAACCTATGAGGCAACAGTCTCATTTTCCTGTCAAGCTGCATCAGGTCATGTCTTGAGGCCATAGATATTTGACTGCACATCAAAATGAATATTTGGAAATATTAAGGAGACAGATATGTTCTGCTGAGCTGCTGTTGGATCCATGAAAGGTGATTGTTTTTATTGTTTCTTCAGGTCTTTATTCTTTCAAGTCAAATTTACAAGTTAGCCCTTCTGTCACCATTTGTACTGATGTGTATGTGTAGTCAGTTAATCTGTTATATCTGAGGAATAGTCGTTATTCAACATTTATCTGTAATCAAAAACAAGTGATGCAGTCAAAGTCATTCTTACAAATATTATAAATACACAAATAAATTAGAATAATATCTCAAAACATCTCTACAATTTTGCTCATGGTTCTTTCTGAAGAGATCCTTCCAGCTGCCATTACGCCATGTAGTGGGCAAATTCAGTGTGTGATTAGAGTTTTGTGTGTTTATGATAATCAGTGTCTCATAGAGCCCTTTTCAAGAATATTTAGAAGGTGTAGCATCTATAAAGGAATATTTATATTTTACCTCCTGCGTAAAAGTCATACATAATTTATTATCTTACTTTTGAAGATAGGGATGCAACTTTCCTAACCGATATGATACCGATGCTTGGATCAGAGTACTCGCTGATAACGATTACTGATACCGATACTTCTACCACACAAATGCTATGAATTGGAATACAGGTTTTCTCTTTTTCTCTGCTTTCAACAGGAAAAGACTGTGAGGTAGATAAAAACAAAAATATATTAATAGAAATGATCACAAAACTAAAATATTAGGTGAACAGAAATGACAAGTTACAGTGAAGACACTTTCAGGCAATTGCATTGGTATTGGTTAACTTTTACATCTAGTTTAAGATGTTCTCTAAACAGCCTTCCTTCAGAGAAATGGAGTTGAAGTCCTACAAAGCTAATGAGCTAATGGCTAGTCAGATTACAGTTGAGACTTTTGACCTTAACACATCAGAGTTGCTGAAAGATCTCTTTAGGAATACCAAACTGTCAAATTGGGACGATGGTGGCAGAGGTGTTAAGTGCCCATCTCATAGCTAGAGGGTTG